ATTCTTTTTAAAATTCTTCCTCAAGTGCAATCAGAACTGCTTGAAGAATGCAGGAAACCCACGCGATATGCGTAGATTCCAGGTAACTTCAAGTCACACAAAACAACATTCTCAACTCAGTTAATGTATTCCCACTTGCTGCTTTCCCCCCTCTATAGCAGCACACTCTAACAAAACCTTTGCTTATTCAGGGGGGAAAAAGCAGGACAATGCTGGCTCTCTTTTGCTCTCTAGGTGCAGCTGAACCTTATTTTTTTGCAGATGTATTTAAACAGGCAGAGTGCAGTGTGAGATGGGCAGTCCTTGCACCACTGGGGCCCCCTCTTGGGAAACAACACTGCAGCTGTTTTGATGTTTTTCATATTCAAACCTCTGTGTCGAACTGGGTGGTACATGTACAGTATGTCCGGAATAACTGTCTCAAGTGTCGGCTTGAACACAGGAAATTTTACAACCTACTGTACTTTCTCTTTCATGAAGTTGACTAAGGCTTTAATAGTAATAGTGTGACTATTTGGAAGAAAAATTCTGATTGCTATTTTTCTTAATAAAGTAACAGGATTCCCCAGAGTCTTTAAGAAATGTCCATCCTACTTCTCTAACTGTAGAAATATAAACTAAAGGATTAGCTGGCTCTGTAAGAAACATGTGTCTTTGGTTTGCTGCACACCCAACAAGAAAGATGTGAATGTTGTTTTGAAAGCATGCTGCTAGCAATGGTGTTTGACCAAACCAATTCCAGCGTCCTCCAACAGACTGATGAGGATAAAAAAAGAACTCCTTCAAAACAATGCAGCATAGCTTTCATTTTTCATGCATCTCAGCTGCAAGTGGCATTGGTGATATTGATCCATGTGAGGAGAGCAGAAGGTCAAACCTGGAATGAGTGGAAATGTCCTCTTTGTCTCACTGATGACTAAAAGAAGCATCAGTCACCAGTGATCTTGTGGTCGACAATGGAGCCACTAGTCACTAGAAGGACTTCTTCAGGTCTCTTCAACTAATCTCCCTGCCTCCCAGAAGGTTTAACTGGACTTAACAGTGTGTCAGGCCCTGAACAATATTTTCAACCATTTACACTACCTCAGCACCTTTCAAGAGGTGCACAGAAGGAGGGAGCAGCTACTGCCATTCAAGCTGTACAACATTCCTTTTTTATCCTGGGCAGCACTCAGTGAATGAGTGGCCTAACAACGTAAACTAGGATCTATTCTTAACTACTGAAAGCTTACTTAAAGGGCACTGGCCTCTTTTATAACTCTTTCCATGTGGTTTTATATTTAAAACACATTTTTTCTGCCATTTCTCATATTAACTTGAAGTAGTATTTCTGATTGGCTAGAAACTTTGTGCATTTTAATATTAAAATATTCAAATAAACTTAGATTGAAGATATAAAAATAAAATGTGAATATTTATTCAAATTATTAATATTTTTTAGAGCATTTGGTCTTCAAATATCCCCTTAACTTAAAAGCAAAAGAATGTTCCTGTTTATTCCTGTCCAAGACAGAAAAATATATGTTTTGTTGTGAGTTGGGTTTACTATGAACAATGCATTGTTTTCTTGTCTAACTTATAAACCTTTTCTAAACCAGAGATTACATGTTGTGTATTTTAAATACATTATTTGTACTTGTGAAATGAAAAAGTAAATGTTGTTTTCACTTTAGAAGAATTTCAGTACCATTGCTCTGTGGTTTACTAATTCTCAACAGCTACTTAAGTGCAGGACATATACAGCATAGACAGAATAAACATTATATTACATATATGCGTTAAGACACAGAATATAAATGTTAAAGCAGCAACTATTTTTTCAACATTCATATGCTCTCAGCACCATGTGATGGAATGCCATTTCCAGAATAAATTTCACAGATGCTCTATCCTAGGTGTTTTGTTGGCAAGGTCGTGTATTTTGCATGCTTTCCTTTCCACTTACTACCACAAAGCAGCTGGAAGCCAGAGAAGGCCCTATCCATCATCCCCTCTATGGCCGGGCTCTGAACCTGGATACAAGAATGGAACTCTTTCACTCAAAAAAGAAGGAAATTCCATTGACATACCAGGGTCAATCACCATCAAAATGAACTTGAGAGGGGCTTACTTTCTCCTGATTGAAAACACTTTCACTATTCATATTCAACTCCCTCTATTCACATGCAAAAAAGTTCATTATCAGACATTAAATGCAATTGTAAAATTGACCAGGGGGATCATTTACTAAATAGAAAGAGGGAGGCCTACTAATGTATTAAACAGTTTGTGGTCATTTTGAAAATCCTTACAGCAATTTATTCGATGCTGTTCTCAAGTGAGGCCAGGTCTAATTAGATAAACTAGCTAATCAATATATCAATAGATCAATGAAAACAGCAAGTATTAAAGTGGGAAGATGGAGGGGGTGTTCAAGAGGGGGTGTTTAATGGCTGGAAGAATATTCGGGCGGAATTGCATTCATTTGTTAACATAATAGGCAGATTAAATTGTAATTAGAGCAGTCAGTTTTGAAAAAGACACAATTATGTAAAAATAGCTTTTTGAAGGAGAGCATAACCTCCTATAAAGACGTATTTATAGTAGTGACTCCAAAAAGCTGTGAAATGAACATCCAATGAGAAATGTTCATTAATACCTGTTTTATGTCTCCTTTTGATGTGATTTTTGTGATTACCTAGTCACTTGTTAATCATTTATTATTATTAACTTAAGGCAAATGCCCAAATCTAGGGTGCCTTCAGAATATTTACAGTACATTAAGTATGAATAGGAAGAGTTGTGCAGGTACAATAAGGTCAGAATAAATGGAATTAATAAAAGGACAATAATGTTAGTACGAAAAATAAAGAGCAATGCAGGTGCCAAACAATAAAATGATAAGAACTAATGGTAATACAGAACAGTCATGTAAACACACTATTGGTATGTTTTTCATGTTTTAAGTGAGTAAGTGCAATAATCAATTTACATTACCAGTCTGATAATTAAAAAACATTACAATTGTGCAATACAATTAGGGAAGGATGTAGTTGAGAGCCGAGAGATCTTGTTTAAAATACAAAAAAAAAGTGCTTCACATGTTTAGAGTTAATAAGTTCAGTTTGTGTAATGCAGAGAAACCTACATCACATACACATAATAAAATGACTCAGTCTTTTTTCACACCGCACAGCTCTAAAAATGCATGTGAAAAGTAGTGCACTGTTTTGTTCCCAGTAGACTGGCCTAAGCCATTAACGATACAAGATGAAAGCCAACATGTTTGGGGAGGCTAAAGTTAGAAGCATGCTATGTTGTTTTGCTTTTCAGGAGTGAAAAAATTGACAGTTTTTTTTATTTTGTGTCATTTACAATTTTACTAAAAACCTAAAGGGACCTTAACTTCTGAATTATCAACCAAAATACAACCTTTAAATGTGGAAACAAAAACATCAAATAAATACAAAACAACAGACATCTTATTTTCATAATCTGGCTTTCAAAAGGAATGCTTTTTAAAAATATTTTTTTATTCAAGACTGATTTGTATCATTGTCTACATTTAAAAACACAGCATGATGGTTTGTATTTCTACACCATAAATATTATGACATTAAAAAAAAAACGAATAACAATGATGCCAAGCAGAATCACTGGATCCAAAACTGGACATAAAGGGAAAGTAAAATAAATAATTAATGAAATAAGTGGAACTCTGCTGTAGTCGCCAGGAAATTTTTCATAAGCCCCTTGGTGGTCACCACCCACAGATTGAAAGCTGCTGCTTCTGCAGATTAATCTGTTGATTAGATACTACTTGGAATGGTGGACTGCTGTACAATTTGGCAATAGTGAGGATAATAGGAATGTCTATGTGCTATACCTCAAAAGATGCACACACACAAACGATTACTGTTTTTTTTTTTGGAGGGGGGATAAATATTTAATGAGCAAAACAGTGCTCACCTTTATGGTGTAATATGTCTTACACTTCTTCTCACTACAAAGTGCCTCCTGAAAAAAGGTCAATGAGAAAAGAAAAACACAAACTGAAAGCATATGGAAATGTTCAATATCCAAAATTTGTCATTTGTATATCACAGCTACAGCATAGAACAACAGTAACTAAGAATGTGCATTATAAAGTTAATTTATTTTAAGAAAATCTGATGTACTCTCTGGATGTGAAAATTAAAGTTTTACAATTATTTTTTAAAAACGCATTTTTATTTATTATAGTAAAATTATAGTAGTGTTGATATTTTTAATTGTGCTTTTTAAATTCAATTTGAGTTGGGTTTTTTTTAAAGAAGGATCCTGCCCTTCTTTCACTGTTTCTTGATCATAAAGTGTCCCAGAATGCTTCTATCCAGCGTATTTTAGCTAGAACTTCACCATGTCTCATGTTACCTGCAGATTGCCTAATGACAAGCTCCTGTGTTCACTCTTGTTGCAGGTTGTTGTATCAACAACAGTCAATGTGGACGGCCATGTCCTGGCTGTCTCAGACAACATGTTCGTACACAACAACTCCAAGCACGGGAGAAGGGCTCGCCGCCTTGACCCTTCAGAAGGTACGGCTCCTTCTTATCTGGAGAATGGTAGGCACATTTTACATGTCTTTTAATTTGCAATGCTTTTTTTCTCACAATCTTACGTTTACACTCAAAGTGTTTATTACTCTTTATTTTTATCTTCCATCCTATTAGTATTTTTCTGTCATCATCAGTCACTGAAAGCCTATCGGGTTATTTCTCCAGTACTATATTCCTCTGTTCTTACCTTTTGCTTCACTGTTATTTTTAAGTTTTTTATCCATTTACATTATTTCGATCTCTAATTCAGAACTTTTATTTTGCTGACTGCTTCGTCTTCACTTTAGTTTGATGTTGTGGTTTCTTTTGAAAGTTATTATTATTGTTATAGCCAATAATAATAATAATTCCCCAAAAAAGATTTTTGTAGCTTTCTTAGAGTTTGTTACCAACTATTCTTTAACATTATGTTCTTGCTATTTG